CCACTGTAGCAGTGCGCCACCGGGCCGGCCCCCTGGACTGAACACTTTTGATTATTGCTTTTCTCTTTACCCTGTCTCACTTCCCCACTCTCTTACCATGCTTCTTGGGATCAGGTCCCAAATAAACTACCTTGTTTCAGAGTCTCCTTTTGGGGAAATAGACACTAGGACAACCTACAAAGAATAACTGGTTTGGGTTTCCTTTGTGACCCACTGCATACAAAGAATAACTGGTTTGGGTTTCCTTTGTGACCCACTGCAAAAAGCATGGAGAAAGTCTTAGGGTGGACAGGGTCGAAGGCCACGGTGGGCGGACCGGGTCTCAGGTACGGGTGGGGGGGGCATGGTGGCGCGCAGCTTTTGTTGGGTTGAACGCTTTTGGTTGGCCTGGCAGCTTGGACGGCAGCGGCGGTGGCGCTGTGCAGTGGGCTGTACCGGGTGGCGTGAACTCGGGGGTGGGGCTTTTGTTGGAGTTCTGTCTCCCTGATCAGACTGGCAGCTTGGACAGTGGCGGCAGGGGCGGNTCCTCTTTCCTGTTCCTGCCCTGTGTGCAGGCACGTGTGTGCGTGTGCAGAGGTATGTATGCATGTGTGTGTGTACAGGTGTGTGTGTACAAGTGTGTATGTGTGTGCGCTTCCCTGGGGAGAGGGTGCCGTAGGCCTGCAGAGGACCTGCTGCCCCAGTGTCAGGTGAACTCAGGCATTTTTTCAGCTGATGTAAAATTTATACCCAACAAACACATTTCTTTCAAAAAATGTAAAGTCGCTTCTAAGAATAAAATTCATTTAATACTTTTTCCACAAAATTATCCTCAATGTAGATAGAGAATGTTTTACTAAGTCTGATGAGTATTGGTTGTGCAAAGATTTATGCAGCAGTGGATAAATAAGGAACATATTTGAGGCAATTTAAAAACTGTCTCAATTTAAGAATAAGTAAAGTAAAACCCTGCTGCTGAGGGAAGTATAGACGGTAGAGCTGAAGTTTTCATGATTGTTACTCTATTTTGATCACATTTACATTTAGGGTGACAGTACTGGCATCTCATCCTAGGGATGTTGATGTGAATATCTTAATAAGTTTAATAGGTTTGTCTGGGTGACATGACAAGAACCTCACTCAAATTTGTTAACATATAAAGGTGGTTTTAATTACTCACTGAAGCCAAGAAAGGGCTAAATAGAGAAAGCTCTGGTCAGGGCCTCCAAAACAGTTGGAACCAGGGCTTCAACTGCTGTCAGCATCTCTGTCTCTGCCTCTTTTTCTGCAAGTCAGCTTCCTTCTCTTTCAGTCTAGACCAGATTCCTCCACATGGCAGGAAGCAGAGCCCACTGACAAGCCTGAAATCATCCACCATTAACATCTAGAAAAGTCACTCTTGCCGCCCTGGCCATGTGCCCTTGGTCCATTCCTGAGGTTCCCTGTGGCTGGGGAATTGTTCTCCAATCTGTCCCAGGCTTCCTACCTCAAGTACCTGCATCCTACTGCCTGCGGACATTCTCTGGCTGGGGAAGTGGGCTGGGATGGCAGGAAGGACAGGACAAAAGAGCCAGATCATTAGTACACCCAGGAGTAACCTTCAGCCAAAGAGGAATGGGAATTGGTGCATAATTACCCCACTTTCCTCATTCTTCAGGCCTATAATTGTGAGCTTTGTTCAACTGGTTTGGGTTTCCATTGTGACCCGCTGCAAAAACCATGTAGAAGGTCTTAGGTTGGACGGGGGCGATGGCCACGGTGGGCGGACCGGGTCTCAGGTACGGGAGTGGGGGGCAGCTTTTGTTGGGTTGAACGCTCTTGGTTGGCCTGGCAGCTTGGACGACGGCGGCGGTGGGCTTTGGGCGTTGTGCGGTGGGCAACGGACGGTCCGTGTCTCGGGTCCACGGGCAGGGGGGCTTTTATATGGGTTCAGGCTAAATGGTCAGCCTGGCTGCTTGGGCGGCATCGGCGGTGGTAGGCGGGCCCGGGTATCGGGTCCTCGGGGTGGGGGGCTTTTGATGGGGTTCAGGCTCCCTGGTCCGCCTGGCTGCTTGGGCGGCAGTGGCGGCAGTGGGGGGGCCCAGGTCTCCGGTCCTGGGGGCGGGGCTTTTGTTTGGGTGAAGGCTCCCTTGTTGGCCTGGAAGCTTGGACAGCCGCGGCGGTGGCGCTGTGCGGTGGGCTATCCCGGGTGGCGGGAACTCGGGGGTGGGGCTTCTGTTGGGGTTCAGTCTCCCTGATCGTCCTGGCTGCTTGGATGGCGGTGGCGGCGGAGATGGGCTGCCTGGGTCAGGGGTCCCAGGGGGCGGGTCTTTTGTAGGGGTTCAGGCTCCTTGGTCGGCCTGGCTGCATGTACGGTGGCAGCGCTGGGAGGACCAAGGTCTCGGGTGCCCGGGGGGGGGCATCCTTTTTGGGGGTTCAGTCTCCCTGATCGGCCTGGCTGCTTAGACGGTGGAGACGGTGGGCGGTGTGTGGTGGGCAGTGTGCGACCAGTGTCTCTCGACCCCTGTGAGGGGGGTGTTTGTTGCGGTTCAGTCTACCTGATCGGCCTGTCTGCTTGGGTGGCGGCGGCGGTGGGCTGGTCCGGCTCTCGGATGCCGGGGAACGGGGAGCTTTTGATGGGGTACAGGCTCCCTGGTCAGTCTGGCTGCTTGGGCGGCGGCGTCGGTGGGCGGTCCCGAGTCTCGGGTCCCCAGGTGGCGGGGTTTTGTTGGGGTTCAGGCTCCCTGTTCGACCTGGCTACTTGGACGGCGGTGGCGGCGGCGGTGCGTGGGCCCGGGTCTCGGGTCCCCGGGGCGTGGGGGACTTTTGTTAGGGTTCAGGCTCCCTGATCGGCCTGGCAGATTGGACGGGGGCGACGGTTTTGGGGAATGGATCTTGGTTCCCTGGGTGGGGGAGCTTTTATTGGGATTCAGGCTCCCTGGTCGGCCTGCCTGCTTGGGCGGCAGCTGGGACGGTTGGGGGGCCCATGTCTCCGATCCTGGGGGCGTGGCTTTTGTTGGGCTTGAGGCGACCTGGTCGGCCTGGCTCCTTAGACTAAGATGGAGGCGGCGGAGGCGGCGGTGGGCGGACCCGGGTCTCGGGTCCCCGGGGTGGGGCTTTCGATGTGGTTCAGGCTCCCTGATCGGCCTGGCTGCTTGGACGGCAGCGGCGGCTGTGGTTACAGGAAGATAGGCCACTTTATAAGGATTTCTTAATTCATTATTGAAATGAGGCATCTCTGGAGTGGAGCATAAAAGTTATTTAACCGGCAGGTTGAGCAGCAGTGATAAATGTTGTAAGTGATTTAAATTTCAGTAGAATTGTGTTGAATTGAAAATTTGGCCACTATATGGAACTTTCACTGCAAAGATTAGAATGACATTGAAGGACTGCCACAGGTGCCAAGAATGTGAAAGATTCACTTAGGTTAATATTTCATGAATCGCTTAGTGTTTTATAACGCAGAGTTCTACAAAATGATGTTCCAGGACCACTTTCATCAGAATCACCTGGGGCATTTTTTAAATTGTAGATCGCTAGGCCTCAAAAAAAGTTCTACTGGATTAGAATACCTTTAGGGGGAATCTAGGAATTTGTGGCTTTAGCAAGGTTCTTAGGTAATTCTTATACACCCTACAATCTTAGAACCTGGTTTTCCTGTACAAGTCAAGAGAGAGCACTTTGTTACCAATATGCTGACAGAGTTCACTCATGCATTTGGTTGGTCACTCATTGCCAGGAGGTCTCAAATTTAAAATTTAATGGGCAAAAAGCGGGGGAAATATAATTCACATTATATTCAATTATCGTGTCTAGATAATCACCTCTTTTAAGTAAAATATTTTTAGAGTATGTTTTCTAAACTAAAAAAATGTGCCCTGCATTTTAAATAACTGGTTTTTAATTACAAAGCCCTTTTGGTACAGAAAATTCATTCAATTTGCATACGAATATCTAGNGTGGGAGGAGCTTTTATTGGGTTTCAGGCTCCATGGTCGCCCTGGCTGCTTGGGCGGCGGCAGGCGGCGGCGGCGGTGGGCGGGACTGTGTCTCGGGTCCTCCGGGTAGGGGGCTTTTGATGGGGTTCAACCTACCTGGTCGAACTGGCTGCTTGGGCGACGGCGACCGTGGGCGGGTCTGGGACTCGGGTCCCCGTGGGGAGGGGGAGCTTTTGATAGGTTTCCTGTTCCCTGGTAGGCCTGGCTACTTGGAAGGACGCGACAGAGGTGGCGGCGATGGATTCTGCGACTGCGGACGGCCTGCACGGGTCTCGGGTCCCCGTGGCGTGGGTGACTTTTGTTGGGGATCAGGCTCCCTGATCGGCCTGTCTGCTTGGACTACGAGGGCGGCGTCGGCAGTAGTGGTCGAGCACGGGTCTAGGGTCCCGGGGGAGGGGGGGCTACTGTTGGGTTTCAGACTCGCTGGTCGGCCTGTCTGCTTCGACAGTGGCGGCGGTAACGGAGGGCGGTGTTCGGTGGGCGTGTGGGACCCGTCTCTCGGGTCACCGGGGAGGGGTTGGCTTTTGTTGGGGTTCAGTATNACACATGGCAGGAAGTATAGCCCACTGACAACGCCTGAAATCATCCACCATTAACCAGTTACTCTTGCTGCCCTGGCCATTTGCCCTTGGTCCAATCCTGAGTTTCCCTGTGGCTGGGGAATTGTTCTCCAATCTGTCCCAGGCTTCCTACATCAGGTACCTGCATCCTTCTGCCTGCGGACATTCTATGGCTAGGGAAGTGGGCTGGGATGGCAGGAAGGAAAGGACAAAAGAGCCAGATCATTAGTACACCCAGGAGTAACCTTCAGC